AAAAGGTAAAAAAAATGCTCAACAAAAGTAGCGCAAACATCTGTAATCTTCAAGTCAAAATGGTTATGGTTTTCGGTGCGGAAGTAAAAGTAAACGATTCGCTTTCAACATCAACTGCATTTTATCCGTGTGTTCAAATGGTAGTGTGCACGAAATGCACATATTACACAAACCACAGAGATAAATAGAAAAAAAGAGTTGTTTTTCGACACCGATTATGTTTTGTTAGTTGCAGTCAAGCAAAGTGATTCTGTGCGCGATGATGTGGCTAACGGACCAAAACGCAACCGACTCAATGAGATGATGTGACTCGGAAGCGAGAAGAACTGAAAAATCGCTTACCCACACATTCACAACAAACGAAAAACTGACGAATTTTGCACACCGCGAATTCCATATTCGACCAAACGAAACATCGCCAAAATGTAAATGAAAAGGGAGTATCAATCATTTGGCTCTGTGTGGCTGACTGATTCATTATATAATTTCGTGAATTTTCCTACTTCTGATTTTTCGTTGGACTGCGCCGATTTCTTGTCTAATTGCGCACATTTTTTATGGTCTCTCTAGTTTCATTTTCTCTTTGGCCTTTTTTTGCACATTCATTTGCCGCATTTGGTTCTCAGCATGAATGCGAACGATTTCATTGTAAATCACTTTTGAAGCAGGAAAATGACGGCAAAAGAAAGAAGCGAGAAGCGAAAAAAAAAATCGCCGAAAAAAATCAAGTATCGGAACTGTTCGAATCGAAAAGGGGCAATGAACTGATTTTAAATATTCTTTGGATCATTCAAAGTGGCCACACGATTTTCCTCAATACGCGCTTGACCATTATTGAGGCGTCAACAGTTTCAATGGCCTAAGAGAAGAAAAAAGAGGAAATCTAATTTTTTTTTCAATCAATGACGCAAAGCAATGTTCTTGATGTCAAGAATCATTATTCAATTCAAAATGGAATGAATGAAAGCACGAACTATTTGTCACGTTTTTAATCAAGATACGGATTATAAAGTAATTCACACGAAAGTCTCTCTTTCCAATTTTTATCGCCATTTAGTTTTGTAACCGTAATTCAATCTTTTGAAATCAAATGAAGAGTATTTCGTGAAGAAAACAACAATTCGATGTTATCACAACTCGAATTACGGAAGATTTGCATGGCATCATCATCTTCTTTTTTTATTTACTCACTGCTATTCAGCGTTGCGGTTCACAGTTACAGTTGCACAGGTTCATGAAACCACTTAAAATATATACATCGCATTTAATCTTCACACTACAATGGGTAATTTGGCTGCATTTGTGCTTTATTTAATGAAATTTATCGCCTCATTTTGAAATTTGACGGCGATCGAAATGTGCATTACATAAAAACCGAACCGGCACACAGTGTGAAAAATACCTACCGAAACGGGTGGTTTTTGTCATTGTCACGAATTCATTAACCCAAAATAAACCATAAAAAAATAATGAATAAAAAAAAAACTTATATACACCGTTTGCCATCGACGTATGTTTTCGTTATTTACCTACTATGCACGCGCAATAAAACGAAACAACAACTTACAAAATGCAAATGCTTCAATTTTTTCGTGCCGTTTTTTACCTACTCTTTCTTCTCTCTCTCTCTCTCTCTCTCTCTCTCTCTCTCTCTCTCTCTCTCTCTCGCTAAAATTCGAACGAACAATCAACAACTTAATTTAATACGGTACAATTTAAATCGTGCACAAACCATATCAAATGAACTGCACATTGCACGGCGTGCACTGTTCCTTATGTGAAATTTATTGTGTCTGCACTTTGATGGATTATTTTCTTTCGGTATCTCATTGTGTATCGTATATACATGATGGTGAACAATTCGAGTTCTTGTTTCGGTGCCAAGAAATTACTGAAATATCTGTCGTTTCATAATGTTTTGTTGGCAGCACCGAAAATATACAAACATTAACGATTCATCTTGTAAAAATGTTGTTTTTGCGCAGTGTCTCATGTATCATCTGCATTATCTTAATGCTTTTTGACATTATTTCAGATTCATTTAAAAATTATCGTCATTACACATTCATCGGGCGGGAGAAGGGAAAAATCAATAAAATCTCTGAACAAACCACGACCGTAGCGACTGGATTCGTGTGCTCCGAATACCCATCCTTCATATTTTTTATGTTTGAAGAACTGTCAAGTCAAGTACTAATAGCTAATTTCCGTCTTTCGGTTGAATTGAAAAATGAAACTTTGCCACAGGCCGCTGTATGAGCAACTTGACGAAAAATTAGCATAATTTGCAAAGTTTGCCATTATGTTTGTGTTTGAGTTCTATTTTTTTATCGCATGCGTATTTATTGCAATGAAATATGAACCATTTTATCAAGTAACGAACACAAAATATTTTTTATAATTGAAAAACAATTCAAAAGAAAAAAACTTTATATATTTTTTCTTTGCTTAAAGTAGGAACGGATCGGCTTAACCGATTTGGTAACTTTTCAAAATAAAGAAGCCACTTTCATGTCAATATATCATATGTGCTCACGGAGTTAATTAAAAAAAAGAAGATTGTTTCGAGTCGAAAAGAGAACAAAGGGTCGAAACAGACGTTTGATTGTCAAAAAGAGTCTCGGTTTCATGAGACGACCACAACCGCAATCGCCACCAATGAAACGTGCTGTGTACTCATACACGTACACATCTTTCCAACTAAAATGAAGTATAAATGACGTATTTTGTATTCGATTGTTGATTACCATGTTCATGTTTTACGTACAGAGCGAAAGAACAGAAAGAGAAAGAATTAAACAAAAAAGTAAATATCCATCTCACTGTGTTATATTTTATTCAGCGTTCGGCGGTTTATATATTTTTTGTTGTTGTTCTCGATTCTACTGTGTCGTTTATTTTCTTATGTCTCATTCGTTTGGTTTTATTTCTTCTTTTTTTCGCTTATAATTTTCAGCGTACTACGTGTGATTAAGGTTCACATAGCAAATACAGACATTTACGCGAACGACTGTGTCGAATACGGTCAACGAAGTATACGCACGCATACACGCACAATCGCATCTCTTACACACAAGCATAACATTTACCGTGCGGTTATACACATGCTCCCTTCAGGTAAAACAATATCATAGCAATGAATTTGGTTGTTTCGACTGTAAATTGAGCTCGTTTGTAAAAATTGGCTCCTCATCATTGGTGCGTTTCATTCTCTTTTTTCACTCTTTCAACTCCATTCTAATGAAATTTTTAACATGAAAATCTGATGAATAATATTCGTAATAATGTAAACAATGAATTTCGAATAGAAAATAGACATGGCAAACGCCATAGCCAGATAAACCAACCACTCGAAAGTCATAAAAAAGATAAACAATTGAGTTTGTTTGCTAGTTGAGTGTCGTGGCATAATTTAAAGACTGATTTGTATAGGTGCGTGCGTGTATGCACAATTAAAAATGATGACAAAAAAAACATAACTGTCGCCTAGTGATTTGCTGGAGCCACAGAACATTTTTTTAAATTTCATATGCATCGGTGGATTTTCAATAAAATGGAAGACTCATGTCGGTGCCTAGACAATATTTGATATTGCATGTAAATATAAACAAATGACGGTAACCTATTTGTGTATGTTGTTATGGCGGCACATAAACGCAACTCACTCACAAAAATTCAGCCCTCATTTTAAAATTGTTCCTTTGTTTTTTCATGTTAATAATACCTCTCATGTGTGTATGGGTTCCCTTTAATGGAAGTTGCATTGGTTGCTGAAACGAAAATGAATGTTACATTCATAGATACGTAACAAAGCGGCCTCTTTATACTGTATATTTATTATTTTATTCAAAGGCAGACTGAAAAAGGCACAACACAGGTAAAGAGAATATTACTCCATTGTCAATAAGTGTGTATGGATTTATTTGGATTCTCCGTTTGAATTAGATACACAGAGCAATAATATGCGTTATGCTAGACTATCTTTTAGTTCAAGGCAGCGTACAAAAAAACATCCTTCACCATTAGGAAGAGAAGACACACGCAGTGTGAGAGAGAGGGTCGGAGAGAGAGGAAGAAACACATAAAAAGAGCACCAGCAAAGAGAGTCTATATCATCAGTTGAGGCTGAAAATAAAGTGTTGCACTTGCTTTTTATGATGGTGTCGGGATTCTTGGAAGTCTTTTTTCGTGTTACTCATTTGGTATAGGTTGTTGCAATGTGCAAAATTACATTTTCGCAGAAGAAACACCGTATTTGGTGTGCAAATAAAAACATGTCGAGTATGCATTTTGGCTGTTATTTTGCAATAAATAACAACAAAACGAAAAAAGAATCAGGTAAGTGGCGAGGTGTAGTTATGATGGTTTGGCAACAGCCACCAATAAAAGAAATGCACTGACCACAGCCAGCAGCAGCAGCAGCAGCATCAGTACCAGTAGCAATGGCACTAGCACTTGATCACCCAATTCAAAATGCTCACGGAGGAAGATGAAAAAATAACACAAACTTTTTCTCTTTAACAGCATGACATTTTTTGCGCGTTTATCGCTCAACTGGTTTTCTAACTGTTGCAAAAAGAGATCGAAAGCCAAAGCATGGACCGTCTATTGGATCGATTGTTGCGTCGGGTTTCTTAAGGTGTGTATGTGATTTTTTGTTTTGATATTGCGAATGTTCGACATACGATATCGCATCGAATTGATTACAATTCCTGTGTACCAAGTCGAACAAGATTTTCTCGTTTCAAACCAAGTTCGAAATTACACTGGACGTGACCACGTATCCAGCATAAATAAGAGAAGTAATTTTTTTGTGATTATTATTTATTTTTTATCATTGTTCGCACTCGCATTTCTCAACTCTTTTTTTTCTGCAATCTCTCACAACTTTTCTCTTCACCTATCGCTAATCTCTGTATTCGATTTATTCCTTTCGAATCACCGACTATTTTTTATTGCCATTCTTTTGCTTCAAAAAATAACACAGATTTGTTTTTTACCTTTCTTATTTTGGTTTGTGTGTCTCACTTTTTGAGCTTCATATAATTTTCAATTCACTATTTTTTGCACAGCAAAAAAAATAACACGACAACATTGATTTAATTATGGTCTCCTGTACACTCGTGTCGTCTAGCTTTTTTTCCCATTAAGTTTTACACATTTAGCTTTATATTATCTTAATGCTCGAAGTACTTTTTGCCACATTTTTAACATAAAATCCAAGTCAATTGTTATCTTTTATGGTCAAAGAGTTTCAATACTTTTTACACAAGTTTCAACACAAAAAATTAAATCGAATTTTAAGAATAAACAAGTTAACAGAAGTATAACAGAACAAAAAAATGATCGAATGATAACATGCACAACACGTTCGAATCGAACGTTGTAAGACAACTGAAGACTGTGTTTCGTTATATGTTGATACTGCTTGTACTCAGGCGAAACGCTTTTTTGTGCTATCCATCGATTTGACAAGTACGAAGAGGTCGCCACTTGTATGTGTACGATACATATCTAAATAACAAACATGGCCAATTGTCATAGGCCTTTCTCAACTCAAATAGGTCCGTTGTGCAAGAAAAAAGAAAAACATTGATTTTTGAAAGGTCATTTCATTAAGCTTTTTTTTATACATCTCCAGATCTTGATATAAAAAAAAATATTTGGAATCTTTTGGTAACAAAAACAACTCTAATCAACAGTCGTCATTATCTTCACAGTCTAAACTCATTTCTCCTCATAAATTACAATTCTTTTGGCATTATGTTATTTAATTGTTTTTTCTTTCCACAGAGAGCAATTATTCAATTTGACGAGCAGAAAAATTTAATCCAAATGGGGCAGTATTGATTCTCTGATTACAGATACATTCATGTGCCAAGCAAAGTGATGAATATTCGGATAGGTTAGCACTCTCAATCGACCCTCCTTGAATAATGTCTTCAGACCGATATCGTCATTTGTGTAGATTTTTCTCCGGTAAAATGGTATCACTTCATGTCCATCTTCGCTGAAGTAGCCGAAATGACTAAAATTCAAGACATTTGGGTGTTTAGACTACAAAAATGAAATTTTTTTAAAGATTTTTTTTGGTTCGAAAATATCCTTACCTGGATTGCCAAGGTGTTCTGAAATTGAATCATAAAGTTCAAAATTATTAGCGAATAAATAACATGAATGAAATTCCATAAGAACAGATGAAGAAACTTACATAACACCATCATCTGGACCACCAATTAAAACCAATTGCTCAACTTTCAAAAGGTTCTCTCGAAATAGCGACGAATTATATGATTTTATTTCGTTATTAATATAAGGCAAGAACGAACTAAAATTATAGTAAAGTGCCTGTTGATGCGGATCATTCCAATAATTTCCGACGGATGTATGTTGCCCAGCATAAGAATAGAATAAATTATAAGCCGTTTTGGCCGCCAAATCCGGGAATATCAAATGTAAAAATGCCGCTGTGAAAATAAACGACATTCATTCAGCATTTTCTTCAATTTCAAAGTAAAAAAAAAACTTACTTCCGAATTGGCCAGCCTGTGGTGAGCTCAATGAAATAAAATTCTTAACATTATGCTCTCCAAACACTTCTAAAATGGCACGTGCCAAAAGTCCACCTTGTGAGTAGCCTAATAAATGTACACCTTCGGGATGTCTCTGACAAATCTCGATCAAATCATTTCCAAGCTCTTCGACTTGATGCCAGGCATTTTCCAGACTCGACCAACCCGAAAATCGATCCGTATTATAAACGATCGTTCCTGGATGAGCCTAGATTTCATTATTTTAAATCATTTATTCAGTTATGTTCTGTTATATCACTTTTATATTATCAAATCCATTTCCTTGAACGATTGACTTACTTTTTTGATTTCCTGTTGAATCAAATTCATACTGGGTGCACCTATAAAAATCCATATAATTGGAATATTTGAAAACGCATAAAAAAAATCGACTCGACTAACCTGTCATAATTCCATGCATCAAAACCACCTGTGAATGTTGTGAATTGTTTTGAAAAGTTAAAACGTCATAATTGTAAAATGTTCTTTGTTTGTCAATCTTACTGGTTTGTATGCTTCAACTGCATTGTTTTCGTATGTAATAAGTATGGTAAATAGCAAAAATCGTAACATTTTAAATGGCAGTCTTAGTCTTTATTCTCCGTATTTACAAATATCACTGTTAACTGAAATTATTTCAATTCAAAGTTCCTCCTTTTTTGCGTTTTATCAATGCAAATGAGAGTTCAAGTTAACTTGATACAATCGTGCCATACGTACATGACAAAATGATCTGTTGTTTATTTTGATGTGAATATTTTGACGTACAACGCATACAAAGATAACACTATTACATACACATATGCTAACGCATATATGGTACATTCCATACAACTTTCCAATGGATTCGTCTATATCATGCTCATAACTGGAAGTCAAATGTCAAAAAAATATTTGCCTCTACACGAATATGGTACAGATATACCGGTTGTGATGTTATTGAACTAAATTTTGAATTGATTTAAAAAATATTCTTTTAGAAATCGAATTCAAATCGATTTAAAACCAAATAGATCAATGATTTCATGCAATGTTGAATTTAAAATGTAAATATGAATAGACGTCACTGTAAACGCATTGGAATGGACGCGTTAAAGATGCGCATGTGTAGCGTTTTTTTTGTGTGTGTCAATCAAAAAGGCTGCGAACGATGTCTGTAAACAGTATTGTTGTGTATGTGTGTATTGCACTCTTGGCCTATAGTTTACATTACATTCTATGGAATATCGTCTTCATCCATACGCACCAATACATGCACACCGCAGTGAAAAATTCATGGCATAATTTTTTTTCTCTTCACACTAGTGCATCACACAGTATGGTTAAAGTTGTTCGTACGCATTATTTGGAATTACCTTTTCATTAGTGTGTCGGTCGGAGTTCCGAAAAGTAAATAAGTGAACGCCTAAAGAAAACCTGAACAAAATTAAAATATCAACTATTTGGAATATATAATAATAATTGTGTAGTTAAAGAGCAATTGTGAAATTGTGGGCTTGTGCACATTTTTGAAGAAAAAAAAAAACTAAATTAAATTTGTAGTGGAAAAAGAATTTCATGAGTGCAAAAATGCCGTATTTGAAAGAAGATGAAATTACAATCAATGCAAAAACGGCGACCACAGCTACGTCGAATTCAAGTGCATCCGACGTTGACGATGCAGAAGAATCACTTTTTGAGAATAAGGTAGATGCAGCAGCAATAGTGAATGAACAATAAACACGATTTAAACATGAAGACGAAGAAGAGAGAAATAAGCCAAGAGGGACATAGAAGAAGACAAAAAAAAATCAACAACAAAATATACGTGTGTATAAAGAGTGTACAAATAAACGCGCCGTGAGGTCATACAATGCAATGTAAAATACCAAGAACGACCATTACTGTGTATTTTGTATTGATTTTTTTTTCTTCTTCTTGAACTTCTTGTTCAATGTATTCGAATCGGTGTGTGTCTTTTATGTTCAGGTCGTCGGGACTTGTTTACTTGCAATGATTTTCTCTCTTGTTGTTTTCTTTTTCCGTCGTTGTGCACAAGTGTTCATGATTTCTTCAAAGGCACAAAATGAAAAAGAAGAAGAAGAAGAAGAAATTATGAAGTAAACATGAATCATCGTATTGAAATTGTTATACTTTTTGTTTTTATTCTTGTTGCATGTAGGCTCAAGAGCTCCAATCAACCGAAGAGGATAATGATGATGATGAAGCCACAAATTCATCGGTATCAAGCTATGCATCAACCGATTCACCGTCACGCAAACGAAAACACTTTGATCCGGACGCCGTAATTGCAACGGCACTCAACTATCTCAGCACAAATGAACCAGCTCGAGATGAACTTTGGCAATTTATGAGCTATTTGCATACGGTATTAAAAAATCTGCCTCCACACCTTCAGCTCGAATTAAAAAACAAGATTCAGCGTGCAATGTACGAAGTGGAAAAACAAGATCTCGAAAAATCCAGCGACCTCACCGCCGATAAAGATGTCGTACCTGATCAATGAATCGAATGAACAAAACAAATATACCAATCGAGTCAGTGAAACAAAATACAAACAAAAATCGATGAATCATTTATAGAATGGAATAGATTTTAGAGGCAGTCTAATTTGAAGAAAAAAAACAACAACAACAAAAAAATAGAAACCGAAGCATAGCCATAAGCCATAAGTCATTAATTCATCAATTCTAATACTAAATCACACGATTCACGTGACATAGTACACATCGAGCAAATTCTATTTGTGGCAATTTCATTCATTGATATACGTGTATACTTTGATAGATATAACATTGAAATTAGCTGATTATTATATGTAAATGTGTGTGAAGGATAACAATAGTATTATTATTATTTTTTTAAATATTCATTTCGAAACAGGCCCAGTTTAGACCATTTTTTCTCAGTATTTTTTTTTTCGTTCATTTGTAAACGCAAAAATCGTGTATTTTGACAAGATATGTGAATAGTATGAATTCATTCCTGCAATTTGAAATGAAATATATTTGCAATCTTTGATTTTAAGAATTTTTTTTTAATTTTGCAATAGCAAAATCGACTCAATAAAAATAGCTCAGAATTTCGAAATGAATATATCCGATAAATCAATGTGTATTTGTTTCACCGGTTTTCGATGCCAATTCATTTGAAATGTAGCCAGTATTAATTTGAGACGATTTTGTTTGCTATACTGTTTGATAACCACAAACATGATATCTTCCTTTTTTTATTAGATGTAAAAATTGAATGGCAGTTTCTTTTTCTCTCGTTTATCGCTTAGAGAAAACAAAGATCAACCTTTTTGTGTAAGGAAAATATATTTTTATTATAAAAAAAAAAACAGATAACATTTTATCTATATAAATAAATTTTCATTTTGAAAAGAACAAACAATCTAGGTTCTATTTTTTTTGTGTGTGTTATATTTAAATGTCCTAAATACACAACAAACTTCATCAACTACATGTTATTATGAAATCACTAAACATTGCATTGGTCGATGTGAACTTTTAACTTTGCTGTTGATAACTTGCCATTTCAATCGGTTAGTTTGTTGACTGTTTTTTGCTACGGATAATGAACGCTCCATTTGATATTGATTACATTTGCTTTGTTCAAAATTGAACGTATCAATTTTAAATGGCATAAACAAGAGAATCGGGTAAATGATACAATGCTTTGACTTTTAACAATCAGTTACGCGAGCAGTAGACAACTTCGCGTGTAAATTGTTTTGGTTTAAATTAACCATTATCTCGAAAAACATATAAACCGACATGTATGACAATCTTCAATGTGTCTGCTAAAATTCAAAAGTATTTTCCATTTCATAAATCAGTTTTAACGGACGCAATTTCTCTTTCAAAAAAAAAAAGAAAATTCCTTGTCATTCGGCTTAATTATGATTTTTAATTTGATTAAAATGAGTTTGGGATTTCTTATCGCATCTATGCTGTTTTATGATACAGTCTAGTTGATTTGCTGACTGAAAACATTTTAGCATTCACAATCATATAAATAAGTCAATCGTCTCTTACACACAAAAAAAAAAACATCAACGTAATCACTTATTTCCTGAATATATAGCATAAACAAGTGACCGTCTGCTTTCAGTTATTTGATCACTTTCGCTCAGTGAACAACTGGAATATTAAGTCGTAAACATGAAATTCATTCTAACCATCGGACTATTGATTGCCACTATTTTGGCTCAATCGTACGCTCAGCACGAACATCATGATGGTAAGTTTTTAACGGTTTTGTTGATAAAGACTAATGATTTTTTTTTTGACAATTGAAATTTAAAGTTTAAATAAATTCAGAAAGGGAAATTATAAACGAAAGAAAAATATTAATTAGCAAAAAATACAAGTAAAAAACATTAATTTAATTGTATTATATTGAATAGATGATTCCCATCCATGTGCTCAGCCATTATACAAGTTGAACGATAATAAAGTGGGTTGTTTAGCTGATATAAAAAAATGGTATCATAATCATGCTAGCGGAAAATGTGAAGAATTCTCATTCGATGGCTGCCCTGAACACAAAAATGACAATCACTTTGAAACCGAGGAAGAATGTAATAAAACTTGTGATGAATGGCATGCACAACATAAGGATCATCATCATCAAGAAGAACATGGAGATTGTAAACACGGCCATGACCACGCTAAACATAACCACGATGCACACGACCACGGCAAACATCATCATTAAAACCTTCGTGGATAATTACAATTTGTCAAATAATCTATAACATCACTTGAATGATTGATTTCTTCTTTGAACAAAGGAACAATGTGATTTATTTGAGAAATACATGAATAAAGAAAATTTATCAATAACTTTGTTTTGCTTTATTCTATAATTATTTTTTTTATTATTATTTACACAAATGCTTCTCTTTATAAATCATTTCTTTTTGTTGCTACTATCTATAAAAGGGCAAATTTGAATCGATAAACACTCACTTCAATTTCAAGTGTGAGCGGAATATTTTGTTTGGGTGAAAATAGTGAATTTTCTAGAAATGAACCGTCTCAAAAAACTAATTCAATTAATTTCAAACTATATTTTTAAATTTACGGTCTTTTTCGCAGCTATAAGTTCGTTGCATGGTTCATTGCATTTGCGAATCAAAATAGATACGATGACACGGTAAGTTAGATGACAAAACTCACTATTTTCATATCAAAATTGAGAAAATTTGTTTTTAGTTTGTTGTGGAGTATGATTATAATCAGTGCTTGCACAAGTGCTGTTTATATTAATACAATTTTTCTGCAACGATTTTTTGAGCGTCCGCTTGTGACGTTTCTTGAACGTGATTACTATGAATGGAATACAACCTTTCCAAGTTTTACATTATGTGGACAAGAAAAGATTAACGAAACGGCCTTGAAATTATATTTGAGGTAGAAATTATATATGAACAATTATTTTGCATTTTCGAACGATATGAATGATGAAATTGATTTTCAGCGAGATGAATTTGGCACCTCAAAATAAAAGAAAATTTGAAGAATTTCTTCGGGTTTTGGTGAATTTGACAATGTTTAACTTGCACACTCTGTCAAAATTTGGTGATTATGAGTCGTTGCCCTACACGCGCGTACGTAAAAAAAAAACTTTTCACTTGATAAGAAAACTCATATATAATTTGAATTAACTCAACGATGGGTTCAATTTAGGTGATCGATGAGCTTACTAAAAAACATGATTATGATATTCTTATCGACTCTCTTTCAACATTAAAATTACAACGGGCTTATACAGAGCTTGGTATTTGTGATCAATTCAATTCCGAAATTTCACAAATTTTTGCCACGGATTTTCTTATCAACGATCATTTGCCAGCAAAAAAAGCACTTTATGAAGTCAACTATTTTGATGCCAATCCACACATCGTACTGAATGACCTGGACGATAGCAATGTATGCATATGAATTTTTCGTTTTTTGAGAAAATATTGATTTTTTATGCTTTTTCATCTTTTTTATATTCGAATTAAAATAACATGTTAAAGATCCATTTCCATGGTCCCTTCGACTTACCGCAATTGTTAAAAAAGCGAGAAATAAGTGGATCAGCATCACAGTATAAATCATTTTCTCTATCGGCTATCAGCGTTGTGGCAGCAAAAAATGTGCGGACAATGTACATATGGCATCGAAAATGCAGGTGATCATTTGTATTCAAAATAATAATAATTTTAAAACCAATCTTTTTTTATTTATTATCGAAGTAAAAATGTATTTATATTCGTTAGATATTCTGACGAATCGGATTTAGTTCGCTTTCCACTTTTCTATACTTATGACTTATGCAAATTGGAGTGTAAAATTAATGCCATCGTTGAAAAATGTGGTTGTGTTCCATTTTTTTATAAAAAATTACCACATGAAAAATACTGCAACATTAAAAAACTACTCTGCGTTGAATTTCACAAGGGTAATTTAATGTTTTTTTACATGAAATTAATTTAACAATTTTGAATTGAGATATTCTAAGAATGTTCAACTATTTTTTTATGTAGTAGCAACTAGACACACATATATTGAACAAATTCAAGAAATTAATTCCAAAAAAATTGAAATGTAAAAAATGTGAATTGCTGTTATTTTTGTACAGATGACATTGATGAAGCAATAAATACATGTGAATGCTATCGCACATGCTTCAATATAAAGTTCAGCATTCAAGAAAAAAATTCATTAAACTGGCTGCAGGAAAATAAATTGCGCGTCGAACTGAATAAACCAAAGATGCGATTAGTGCGACATGCTTTGCATAGTATTGCAGATGTCATTGGTGAGCAAGAGATTTTGTTCGATTTTGATCACGTTTTTTGTGGGTAACTTTCCATTCTATTTCAGCTGGAATTGGTGCTACAAATTCCCTTTTCCTGGGAGTGAGCATTATAACACTGGTTGAAATAATATATTTTGCTTGCATACGCCGTACTATACAGCGTCACACACTCTTAATGGGATATGCTGGTTTCGACTAAACTTGTTCGATACTCAGTTATTTAGAAAAAAAAAACATTTTTTATAAGAAATGTTTTTTCTGTCGGTTTTCGCAGAGCAATTATTTCAACAAATTGTAAATGAACAGATCTACGTTGGTTTTGTTTTTTAATCTGATGCTTTTATTTTATTTTTGTTTATTCGGTTTTAACGTCTACTTAAAAAAGAGTCGACGGGTTACATTGATTAGAAAATTTTTGGTCGATATACCTAGTAATAGCATAATTTGAAAAATAGTAATTCAGTTGCTTTATATGTGAGGCTGAGAGTAAAAACCAAAAATGTGATGTTAGAATGCTACGCAATTTTGAACCTTTTTGTGTATAACAATAAGAACTTTTTACTCACTTATTTGGTTTTAACTCTCAGCCTTGCATATATAAAATCTAATAAATAAGAGGTATATTTCATTTTAAAGATAATACATTACATTGGACATGTAAATAAATCTATTTTATATCTTTAAACATCTCATCGTAAATATTTTGTATTTCATGTATTGCGCTTTCGTATTGCTTCATACCATTGTTTCCAAGTGAATCGATTTTAATTTTTTCGAGGATTTCTTTCCTTCGTTCCTGTTCGTACAAATATTGGAGTTAAAACATTTTCATCGGAATTTGATTTAAAAGAAAACAATGAGAAACAATTTGGTAATAGCTTACCTCTGGTAATTTTACAATCAATTGCTCCCATTTGTGTAAAAAGACCAAATAACATTTCCTAAAATTAAAGACAAAATTTTTTTAAAAATAAATGTTCATAACTCGTTCATCGAATTTTTATTACTTACTTTTTTTCATGGTTTAATGCAAGTTCCCCACATATATAAAAGTAATTCGATGCAAAATCAATAAAATCAAGAAGTTCGTCAAACCAATGCTTCAATTCGGGATGTTGAATGCCAAGCTTCTTAATTTTATCTTTTAGGGTTTCACAAATACAACTGTTGGTTTCATCATTATTGTTCCCATGTACTAGACCAAAAATACTGCGAACATAGTCGGATCGACTACTGACATCCGCATTCGCCAAGTTATCCTCATTCGCCTAAATAAATGATCAAATTAAAAGTGGTTATACGAGAAAATTTATACATTGAAAACTAGATCAATACAATTTAAAAAAAATAGTTGAAATTACCATTATTGTTGAAAACAAAATACAAATCAACAAAAATTTAACTTTTGAAACAATCATTAATCTTGGCGCACTTTTCTTGTTTTCTAACCTGTTGTGAAATTACAACTGTGGGTTGGAGTTATTTGGCAAATTATATTTATACGAAGTGTTAAGGTATAAACTGAGTATTTAGTCATTTCATGAAATCAGTTGTTAAGGTGACTCATATTAAATTAAACCATTTTATCAGGAACAATAACCAAAAAATATAATCAGCTGAATCGATAGTATTGAATGGATTGAATGTTACAAAAGGTAAGATAAGACACTGAGAAAATAGAAATATTGAAACTAAAAGATGGCACGGTAAAATATTATTTTAACATATGTTTTTTCCCTCACATATTAAAATGACATTTCACGCGATTTGAATTCGCTTCGACGTTAAAATGACGTTTCGATATGTGCGCGAATTCAGTTACTGACATATGTCATTTAAACATGTGAGGAAAAAAATATATGTTAAAATGATATGTTAAAGTGAATACTTTTAATTTCAATGATTAGAAATGTTTCTCAGAGTACTCATCTTAAGAGGATACTTGAGTTTGATGGAATCGACTAAACTTGTTCAATACTCGGTTATTTAAAAAAAAGCTTATATGAAATTCTTTTTGTGTCGGCTTTCGCCGAGCGATTATCTCATCAAATTGTAAATAAACAAATCCACGTACTTTTTGCTGTCTCAAACAAATTTTAATTGCGTTTTTAACATTTATTTACATATATTCAAACAAAGGCTTTACAATATGCAACCGTGTGATCAACACCGCACTCAATTTTTAAAACCTGCGCCGGTAAGGATGCTTTTAATGGAAAATATTGATCTTTTTCGTTTCTTAAACCGAGGCAAGCACATCGATTATGGCCCCACATATATAGATCATGTGTACTCGTCACTGCGCCAAAATGTGAAAATCCGGCAAAAATGGAGCAAACTTTGCTATCGGGACTAAAATCATTGCGACCAAATAGTATCGATGGAATTTTTGTCGGTTCAATCACTTGATCGGCTTTGGGTCCCAAACCAACTAAGCCGAAACCCCACACAAACACATCACCCTCGTCTGTCGATGGAAAATAAATGGAATTTAGTGGCACAATTTTTAAATAAAAGAAAAAATGTCGTACCATTTAATACCATGCACGCAGAACCAGCTGTTGCTATGTCAATAATTTTGCCGCACTTTTTAAGCAATTTCAAATTAATCGGTGTATTGACTTGTTGAATACCATTGCTTAAACCTAGTTGATTATATTCTGAATTTCCCCAGCCAAACACTTCGTTTTTATCTGGAATCGAAAAAATTACAAAAAAAAAAAAAAAATGCAATCAATGAAATTTACTTGTAGACAAATCAAAACTTACCATTCAATGCAAACACGCAATCGAATTTACATGCTAGTTTAACAATTTTCTCATTTTCAATGTCACCACGTACTTGTGTCCATTCGCCAATCGAATTGAAATGTCCTAATCCAGTTTGGCCGTCAGCGCCCCATCCACAAGAGAATACTTTTCCGTTTTCGGTTAATATTAAACTGTGATCCAAACCGCATACAATTTCTTTTACTTTATCATCTTCACCGAATATTGATCTCCCTTCAACTCTGTGAATCATTTCACTTGCAGCATATTCTTCACCATCAACAACAGGTCGACCGCATTGACCGTACGCATTGTTTCCCAACGAAAATAAAACGTCCGATTCAGATAAAACAATTGAATGTGCTCGACCAGCTGCTAATTTTTTAATATTTAAACTTTCATCGGCACGTCCCCTGGGCAGCGCTATTGGTGCTGGATAATACATTATTTCCATGGGTTTATTTGTTTTACCTCCATGTTTTTGGAAACCCAATTGTGAATCTGTATTTAAACCGCATCCAAACAATGTCATATCTTTTTCCGGCTTACAAGCAAAGAGAGTGAAGCCGTAGCCGGCTGCAATATCGATAACATCAAACTGTTCTGCAAATGGTAAACGCGATGGACTCCGTACAATTTTTGCCAACTTTTGATCGTGTAGTGTTTTATTGAAACCACATGCACCGGTTACCGCTTGGCCCCAAACATAAACACGACGATCCGTTGGTTTACTTCGTTGATATTCGTATATTGGGAATTTACTTACGTCTTGATTCATAACTTGCATCTTTTTTTTAAGCGGTCTGTCTTTTGTTGATGCATATTTTGATACAAATCGCCGTAACGGCGTCTGATGATTGACTACATTTGAATTAAGATTTTTCCACATTTTTTACATTGGAAATTTTACGATAGAAATTCTGTTTGAAATGTTGAAATACGGAGACAACAGTGTGTTTTGACAAACATAACCCCACTTTTTCTACGCATTGACACTTGATGAATTTGACATATTCTGCACGAACTGTCATCGAACTGGTGGAAGCTTTGAAACTGCTAGAATTTTTCAATGTGCTTTTAGAAGTTTTAAAGCGAATTTATTCGAACCTTTTTTTCGGTTGCAATGTAAATGAATAAAAAGAATGTATCAGTGTTTTCAAATCTAATTCAATTTTGTAACACAAATTATCGTTAGTAACAACAGAGATTTGATTGGAATTGTTTTTATTGAATCTACTTTTGCCTCAAATTCACACGACTGAAATATTGTATATCATTTTTATCACCTTTTACGACTAATTTAAGGTGCGTCTTTTTTAGTTGTGTCCATTTTTTGGAATTTTTCATTTTTTCAATTTCATATTCATATTGAATTTATTGTGTTATGAAATCGAATGAACTCATCCAAACGTTAAAATGCAATTATCTCTTATTTTTAGAGCGCTTTTATCTAAAAATAGAGAGTAACTCAACAAAAAGCACTATCACTAATGATATGACACACATAATCATAAAGTTTATCAGAGTGTGTGGATAAAATACTCAACATTTCAAAAGCGGAATTATTAATCAATTCTACCGAAATTCATTTCATTTTTCAAATTTATCGGGCAATATTTATTTTCTTCATCGGGAATTTCCAATGACATTTGCTTTTGATACTCTCTTGTTGATTCAAAGACGTTATGATTATTTATATTTAAAAAACCTGATTTTGACTTTATTAAAAATACAATCAATTTAGAAAGTAACACAAAAAAGATCGTCGAAGTAACTTATAAATAGAAGCCACGATATTTTGTGGTTAGTTTTGAATATAAAGTAGTACAGCGCAGACGTTTAAAGTTTAAAATGAATTTTTTTTGCCCATTATTGACAGTTTTTATATTAACTGTTTTGGTGCAGTCTCGACCACAAACAATAGCCAAAGAAAATATGACAGCAAATCAATTAAGATCAGGTGAAAAATAGTCTTCGAGTGTATTTGTGATAGTGTATTTTACCTTTGATTCTTTTCAAAACAGAAGAGATCTGTGCTATGATGCCGTTAGAAGGAAGTTGTTTGGCATTTTCTCCGAAATTTTTTTACAACTCAAAGGTCGGCAGATGTGAAATATTTTTCTACAGTGGATGTGGTGGTAATCCTAATCGATTCGAAAATAAAGGATCGTGTCAATCATTTTGTCGACAATTTTTAAAATAAAAATATTTTCATCGAAATAATGACCACAAATTGTTTTTTCTTGATGCTGAATAAAATGTTGGACAGTTGATTAATTTATTTGGTAGAATTGTGAGCTTGATGAAAACAAATGTAAATTGCAAGAAGATAATGAATGTGTGATACGAATTGTCTTCTTCTCATTTCATATGAGAAAACAATTTTATTGAATTATAGCGTTTCATTAAAATGATTTGCTTCCATGAATTACTTACATTTATCACAAACAATGATCATATTCAATTTATGTAATTAACCAAAAGTGGAAAATCAAAAAAGAATCTTTAAAAAATGAAATTTTCAGTTAAGATTTTAAGTCGAATCAACAGAAATAACACCCATTAAGCACCAATTTTATCTCGCATGAACTGCCGCTCGCTATGATTCTTCATTTACAACAAACCCTTCAAAGTCAACATGCCATAAACGGAAGCTTTACATATAAACTTAAATTTCCAGTTGCAGGAGACGAAACATACATGGTTGATATTATCGAATACAATAATCTTTTCAACTGTATATTTGTTTGAGCTTCAATTTTACATTTACAAGGATTTGGACAAAGTTTGTGTATGCTTTAAGTGAATGTTTTAATTTTGGCGAAAATAGATACGAATTGAAATAGTTCGAAATAAATAATCTTTTGAAATAAGCTTGAATAATAAATATTTTTACTTTTCTTGAAAATCTGAAACGATGCGTCTAAAAAGGAAAATTAAATAGAGTTGGTTTAGTTAATATAACAATAACAGTCAGTAACCTTTTATGGTGAAATAGAAATCTGAACACTGAAATTAAGAAGGAAAGCTCCGCCTTGAATGCAACATGAAATTCATAAGTGCGATACGTTTAAATTTTGGTGTTGATGAGCGTAATTTGATGAGCGTAGACATAGCATCAAGTAGTATATCATTAAAGTTACTAGCTTGCTTAATAGTCTGACAGATTGACATAATGATTTCATGAAGTTTCAATGTTTATCATTGAAATTGATATAATCGTGACTAGCCAGTTTTTATTAAGTATTTTTTGGCGTGTTTACAGTCACACGAATTTATACCGTACATACTATATATAGTCGAAAAAATGTCTCTCTTTTGAAGATTTATAAGAATTTTAATTATTTATTAATTAGAATTTATTGTCTACCAAAGCTGGCTGATATCTACATTGCACAAAATTAATTAATAGATTGAAAAATAGCAGCGAATCCTTCAATACTTTTTCAAATTTCAATCTCAAATGAACAATATCAAATATATCAATTTGCATAAATAAAATGTACGCACGCAAGTGAATTATATTAACGTGTCCAGTTAAAATGGATTCACATTATTTTTGTACTGTAGTTTTTTAAGTAAAAAACACTTCAGCCCGTATAATTAAGGTCAATTGATCGATTTTCTAGAATATTAGAAGACTAGTAATTATGTGGTTAACACATTTAGGTGTGAAAACCCTTTAATTTAATTTGTCTGAAAATTATCACTGCTTTTTCCCTATAAATTAGAGGAAAATCCTAAAAAAATCGTCATTTCAGTTCAAATTCGTGTTTAATCATCAACGATGAAAATTTTAACAGTCTTTGGTTTTATTCCAATTACAAATGATCCAAATCGTTTGTATCGGTCGATAGGACGTATTTCACAGCAATTTTTTCTGGTGATGTTAATAGTTCCATCAGTACGTAATTTTATTCTTTTATTTTCTTTTTATTTTCAAATAACTTCAGTGATTTCTTAATAGATTATGGCAGTTTATCGGAGTCTAAATGAAAAGAATATGGATCTTACACTCAAGGCATTCTACTATTTGGCCATTCAGTTCTACATAACCAGTTCATTTTACACTAGTATGACCAGAACCAATGGATTGCGTAATTTATTTCGTTTGCTAGAGGATAACATAACCGAACGTAAGTGAATTTACATATTGGAGAAAATTACATTTTTTTCAAAAATTCTATTTTGATTTAGGATCGGATACATTTTCCGGCAAATATTATACGAAAGCTGATCGATTATATACAATTTTCTATAATGCTTATTTGATTTTGAGCATTCTAACACTTGCCACAATGATAATTCCATCAGTAATATCAACAATGCGATACTATTTCACATATGACGAAATGGCCCTAGAGCAATGGATCGTACCATTTTATTTTTCGTAAGCATTTGCATTGAAAAATTAAAATTGAAAATATGATGTCAGACTGAAGTACGAAAAAAGAAATAACTTCAAAATGTAAAATATGCATTCCCGAACAGAATCCCATTCGAGATGGACAATTTATGGAAATATTCATTGGTAATAACACTGTCGGCACTCAGCATCAGTGGTGTGGCACTGGGAAAAATTATCATTCATGAACTTTATTACCGCGGAGGATTTCAAATCATTGCATGCACAATGGATTTGAGCCATGAGATTTCGCAGATTACTTCAATCATTCACGAGTAAGTCTAACATTTCTTTTTCAATGGATTGATTCAATTTCCAGAACATGATTAATTCATCTTTTTCACATCTCTTTCAGAGATTGCAATGACAAGAATAAAAAATTAAAGGAACATTTCAAGAAAATTCTTTTTTTCCATCAAAAAATTATTGAGTAGAAAGCAAATATTTTTTGATTCTTGAAAGTTCTTAATTTGGTGGTTCATTTTTTTCGATTAGATTTTTCAATTTGTACTCATCAATGGTCAGCGGAGTGGTATTTTTTGAGTTTGCTTCGTTATACTTTTTGCTTGGTTCAACTGGATTCTTGGTCGCTCAAAATGTATGTTTCATTTTTTTCAAATCTTTTCAGCTGATTTTCTCGAATTCAATGTTTTTTCGAGTCCAAACACTCTTTTTTGCTTACAAAAGTGACAATCGACGTATTCAGTCGAAACTTTTAGCGTTGAAAGGAAAACACACAAAAAATGACTCATACAATGACTGATTTTCTCCATAGTTACTGGGAGGTAGCAGTGATATTATTCAATTCAAAACAGTTTTATTGGCAGCATTTAGTTCATTGATGATGACATCAAAGTTAGGTACTGAGATTTCACTATATGTAAGTTATTTTCAACGATTCAAGTAAAAAACGAGATAAAATATTAAAATTCAATTTCAGTTGTACAAAATGTCGCATGATATGTATTCGATCGAGTGGGAAGAGTTGCCATTGGAATTTGAAAAATATATTGTGATCATATTACCTTTACTACAAAAACCGCTCTATCTTACTGGATATGGGATTTTAAAATGTGACTGGCTCACTTTTTCATCGGTATATATTGTTAATGATAGTATATACAAATACACAGATACAGATCATCTCTACAAATTGGAAACTTGCTTCGTTCAAAAATCGAATAAGCAAATTTAAAATTGGTTTAATCTGTTTGATTGTAATTGTGCTTTTTTTTAATTTTAGGTCGTCAAAGCAATTGTCTCATTCATTCTCCTTCTCAGACAATTCGTATAGTAGTTTTCGTGCAATAATCCATCGCATTCACATGAAATATTTGTATAATTAAACCTGCACCAAATAATAATTTGGAATCTTTCCAACGTGTGCCGACGTCTAGACATAACTGTTGCGCTGATAATTGATTACAATTTGAAAAATATTTACAATTGTTCTATCAGCAAATACCCAGTCAAAATTTAAAAGAGGTCAAATAAAGGAGATGTTGTTATTCAATAATAAATGATACATCTAATTTATATCGCATGCATTCCTTAAATTGATTTCAGTGTTAAACGTAGAGTTTAAAAGCACCAATAACAGAAAGATTTCAATAAGTTTTGAAACCGACCATTTTATTATGATTAATGCAGCGTTATCTACCCAATTCGAATACAGTAATAAAATAAAATGTGATAAGTTCCTTCAGATATAGACGTTATCGATAACGATCACGATCGTGATTTTGGATTACATGTAAACGAATGCTTTTTCAACAGTTTTTCGATAGTAGAATTCACAGCTATAATGTTGAAGGCTAATAGATTTTATTATTAAATTGTAAATAGAGTGAAGAAGTTTGTGCAAGTATTTAAATACAACTTTTATCGTGATTATCAAGAAACACACATTATGAAATTTTAAGTTAATTTTTGTTGTTTTATTTGAATTGATGTAGGTACATTTGTATATTTATTTGAATTAAAAAAAATTGTTACTCTTTGGTTTGACTGTAATCAAAAATTATAAGCGTTTTTCAATGAAAACATCACAAGAATGAATAAATTAACCGACATAATTGGTCTTATTCCACAACTTTATTGGCAAATGAATAGCAGATATTATTCGTTCTATAAATCGAAATTCATTAGAATTCTACAACACACTAAAAAAATACGTCAAAAATGGTGAATAATACTCTGCGAGGGAACAGACCTGTACGTATAAATTCGCTGAAATCAAACCCCCGAAAAGAGAGTAGTGCATTTAAATAACAGTTTTCAGTCTATTATCGTCTTATCGCGTAATAAGTGTCATTGGTGAGAATGCTACTAGTGCTCATTACTGAGATTGCTAGTTTAGGAGCAAGGACAAATTTTCCAAGAAATGTCATCACTTATGCTTGGCTTTCGTTAAGTTTCTATACCCTTTTACTCGTAAAGTATTTTTTAGAAATGTTTCGTCTGAATTGAATTTGAATACATTTCATAAAACCCTAGAGTGGTGTGATTATAAAAATCTTATTAAAAGTGTAGTATTTTCATATTCAAATGAAGTTCACTTCTCTTTGGATGCCATATCTCTGCATAAAATTCATTGGGTTTAAATTGAGCTTACCTTATTAATAGATGTATTCAAGAAAACTGAGAGTAAATTTCAATGAAAAAATCCATTCAACATTTAACACACGACTCATTTAATGCATACATATAGAAAAGTAACAAAGTAAAGGGTTATAAAGACCAACATCAATCCCATTTAAAGAAAAAATATTTACTTCTCTACATTCTCTTCGTCTGCTTATTTAAAAGTGTAAAAACTAACAAAAGTACATCTCCTTTTATTCACAGGCATATTCAATGATGCATAAACTTATCCCAAATTACCTTATACAATTCCTAGAAAGTGTTTACTTTCGCACTATTCTACGAATGAAGAGAAACGTGCGTGGTTTGAATTAAAAAAGGAACATTCAGATTGCACATTAATCAATGTATCACATTTTTCGATTACTGTGAAGAATGCATTCATTTCCGAGTAAGTTTCAATGTTATTCAAGTTCTGGTTTCGAAATTTTCATTAAAACTCCGAAAATTCTTTAAGATTGGTCATAGCCAAAATATCCACTTCACTTAATGGTTATTCTGGTGAACATTTTGGCCGGTATTAAGTATCCAGCACATCTAAATGAAAATTTCGATAAAGCTGATTCATTGTTGCTCAATTACAGCATAAAATTCCTTGTTCTGTGAAAACAATTATGTTCAGTATAGTTTTTCGATTGGAATTGGCGAGAGCCAAAATAATTCTGCAGTGATTTTTCCGCTCGATTGATTTTGATAATCACAATTTAGCTCTAGTAACATATATACATACACGCACATACATGTATTGAATACAACAGCAGCCGAACTGCAAGACAAATCACATTATTTACAATTTTGCATACGCTGTATAAAATATATATATATATGCGAAGAAGGAGAGAATGAGCGTCGCACATTAAGTGTTCGAATGAGCTCGATTTTCTCCATTTGAAAATCGTATTCGAGTTAGCTGCTCGATTTAGTTTTGTCGTAGCTATTTATCAGTTTTATTGCCCACTTAAATTTACTGAATGAGAATGAGAGAGTGAATAGTATAGAGAAAGAGGTTAGAAAAGGACAGAGCAAAAGAAAGGGAAACAAAGTCAGAGAAGCAGCAAGGAACACAACCTGCACGAAGTGTATCAATGTTATTTCTGCGTTTCATAAGCATCCTCTTCAATTGAAAGCGATACATTTTGTGAGATTTGTAACTATAGTGATAGTGTGTGCTTGCATCTGCAATGTTATAAACTAACATCGGCAATATCATCATTCCACGAACGATTTCGATTCATTTGGATTGTGTGATTTAACTTTCTCTCTTTCTCGCTCGTTCGATTTCTGGCTCATAAGTTAAAACCATGTCTCATTCGAAATAGTTTCTCATGTTGATCACATTGGACTGTATCAATTATATATCGTTCGATAGCACAATTCACTTTGAGCATCTGCATTTGAAATTAAGCTGGCTCAATATTAAATTTCTCCAATATGATTTTCGATTTTAAAACTGCATTAAACTGTATTAAACTATAAATTGAGCATTTAATAGCACAACAATTTTGGTGGATGCTGCTAATTTTACATAATTAGTGCCAAAGGCAAACCAAACTCAAGTTTAAATCTATGTTTACTCGTCCGATTGCAACTTATTTTACGAAGACGAAATATGCCATTACTTTGATGAAGACGCATCTTTCACAAGAATGGTAATAACTTAAATCCTTATATTCCAGTATTTCATAAAATCATTGGAAATAAATTTTGAACAAATTACAAGTTTTTTCATTCAAATTTGCTGCCAATCATATTGCTATGTGTTGGTTGATGGTTCCAATTTATACATTTTCTCCTGTGAACTTTTTGAGAACTTCTGCAGTACATTTTTCCTTTCTAGTGTGTACGGCAGTAGGTTACATAAATAACGATATAAAGACCGACGGCGTCCAGTGTACGGTATTCACTGTTTCTGGTTTTACGGGCGATTAAGCTTTAATTTCACAAGATTTATGGAATTCATTGCTTTTTCACGTTCTTTTCACACGTCACTTAAAATGAAATGTCATCATCATCATTTCTGAAGCAAACCATACAAGGTGAGTAAACAGCTCTCACTTGAGACAATAAATTTTTAAGTTATGCGATTTCTATTTTCAATTTTTTGCCATTAATTTATTCTAGTTTTTAAGAAACAAAAAATAAAACGTGCCAGTAGGTTGAGCTTTGTTATCGGGATTTTCATATTTGAATTTCAATCAAAGATGAGACGAAAAATCACAATCGGCCAGACTTTACATAATGTATTTATGCGTTGAAGCTTTTTGTCTCATTACACTATAGTAATTGAATCACCATCATTTATTGTGATTCACACAGTGACTGACCCAGCGGTTTTCATAAAAGCGAATCAACCTCGAAATGACTGTAGTTCAACGAACACTCAAAATGTATTAATCACACCAAATTAATGCATAAACATGAGTGCGCGCCAGTCAATTCGTAAAATAATGAACTTTGTTTTTTTTTTTTCGGGGACGGATTGTTTCGAGCTGGAATATATTGATGATTTCGAGATCAATCGCCCAAACTCACTTAACTGACAGCCATTGGACGTTCATTTTTTCTCTCTCGTCAAATTAATGTTATGCCCCAAATGCATTTTGTAGTCTGGCAATGTGTAAGTGAAAAAACGATGCAAGACAATAATTACATCCGTCGGCGAGATACCATACAAATATTTATCAAATGGAAAGGAAAAAGTGCTGTCAAATAAAATGAATGTAGAAGGAAAAAAAGATACACATTTGGTGCGTATTTCATTTTCAACGGCGAACAAAAATAATTTTCATTGTCGTTATTCCCTTTCTCTCTTTATCATTTTCTCTTTCGATTTGATCAATTATATGCTTTCGTGTTTTGCAATGGCTTCACCATACTCAATCTGGCTAATTCATCAATTATATTCTTTGATAAATTGATGTGTCAATACTGTGTTCCTTATTTTGTGACAAACAAACCAATTTACTTAAACCGATTTTTTCCCGTGGATTGTTATATTCTTAATGCTCATTTCTTTCGACATTCTTGTATTTGATTTGTTTTCGAATGCTAGTGCTAAATAAAAAAATGATGATTTGTTTATGGAAATAAAAATATATGTAGTTGAACGTGAAGTTTTGCATGCGTTACATTTAGATTGCAAAATACACAGATCTGTATATTTATTCTTATTTATTTCACCGTCTGAACAGAAACTGATAAATTCTTACTATAATTCAATTGCAAATTTATACAGGCGATGAAATCGTTCAGAATAACCAGTCACCAAATAATGCATAGAATCCAAATGAAAATATTTTCTTCGCATTTTTACTATATAAAAATGTAGTTAATAATATGAGAATGATTTCGTGTGTTTTTCTTTTTCAATTTTCCAGTCAATTCCCCGTTTAGTTTGGTTCGGTCTGGCAACCGCAAAAGTGCCAACAAATAGATTTAATAAATCAGAGAGACGACGGGGAGAGTGGGAGTTGGCGTCTGATCCGTCTGTTTGTAATTTGTCATCTCTTGAGAAATTTCTCTTTCCAATTGTCCTTGTCTCGTTCTGGCATGTGAAATCAATCTACAAATTTGTTACACCGTTTTTTTTCTTTTTTTTTATGGAATATAAACATTAAATGTAATCGTCTTCAGATTATTAATCGGTTGACTGTGCATGCATTGAGATCACTGTCTGTATTGGACTGCTGTTTTTAAATGCGCTAATTCAAAGGCGATACATCACTTTTTATGGTTTTTTATTTCAATTTTTCTGTCTTGAAGTCGATGTCGCTTCAATTTTTCTCTCTGGAAAAATTGGTCGCGTTTTTCGATTATAATCTTCTGTATTTTTTAATGGAGAGTCGTTGAATGAAGCCAATGTAATGTAATTGGTAAATGATATTAATAATACAGAATAACGCCTCATGTAGATCCGGAGTTCATTTCGATTTGTTGTGACCAATGATTCGTTTACGGAGATATCGGATTACCTTTCGCAAGTGGTTCACATGGATCAAATCATAGTTTAGGATAGTAAGAAATTCTTTTTGAAGGGCACCGTAGTAAAATGAAAATTATAATATTGAACAATTTATTGTTGAATTGTAACCAATTTTTTTCCATGCAAAGCTTTGTATATAATACAGTAATTTGCGAAGGGGGGTTTAAACGAGAATTTCGAGTCAAATTCTCTCGCTTACTTTCATTGAGATTAGATTTTTATCGATTAAATATGAATATGCATTTTCGAAATAAAAAACTTTATTTTTGCCGAAATAAATTAATTTGAAAGTAATAAATTTTATCAAACTAATTACGTATAAACACCAAGTAGTCTCTTATTTTTTCATGTGTCCATGTTGGCCTTCTAGATGCTTTTAAATATTTGTTGATGTTATTCAATTCGAACAAAATTTTCAAGAAATTTACTCTATTATTTTCAAAGCCGCCTGTAGCAAATTCTTTGACATAAATTAATTGCTCAATACATTTCGCGATATTATATTTACAGTTTGTATCCAGTTCCACACTTTCCAATGCTTTGAAATGATTAATAAAACCAGAAATTCGATGATCAATTAGATTTCCTTTCAATTTGAGTTTCTTCAGATTTGGCATATCAAAGGACAAATCCCCAATTAAATCGCTCGTTTCATAAAAATTGACGTCAAAGTATTGATTCAAGATTATATATATTGGTTTCATTAGTTGGTCGAATAAAAAATTCTCTGCAAACATATTTAACTTTAAGTGTTTTTAAATTGTTTAAATTTTTCTCGATAGCGCCTAGAGTCTTTCTTGTAATGGTCGCGAGAGAAAGCTTATATATTTGTTTATTGTTTGCAAAAATATTATCGAATTGATGTTCTTCTATTGAACTCGTACTCATCGTTAATTCTTTGAGAGATTTTACATTTTTCAAACAGTTTGTGTCGTTCACGGAACCCAACAATGTGAAAGTTTCAAGTTTAGGAAATATTGAATTCAAATCGAATGAATTTCTGCTGATTGGACCAAGGTATTTGAATTTTTTCACTTCTGGAAAAAAAATTGATCCATTTTCATTCGATAATTCTTCCCAAATTCTTGTATCATCCGAAGTAGAAATTTTAAGTTCTGTCAATTGGTTTGCGCACTTTTTAATAATATTTTTGTTTATTTCACTGCGGACACTATCATTCATTGAACCGTAATATACATGAATTCTACTTGTATTACCACCAAACTGTTGGAAAAGTGACAAAAGTCTGGCATAATTCGCGATTTCAAGATAACGTTCGCCTTTATTATAGTACTCATAGGTTCCATCGTAATACCTATTTGGATCTATCACAATAATGCGATCCTGAAAAATCCTTCTCATCGCATCTCCAGATATAGTCATTAGCGCTCGTGATTGTCCTGCCATTTTTGTTGTTTTGAAACCAGCTTTAGAGAGAATCACTTCAATTAAATCGTTGGACAGATCTGGTTGATTTGGGCTCACCTCAATAATCGGTGTGCTTTCAATTTCATCATAAGCTTGGATTTGGATTACCTATTTTTGTGAACGAAACAATTCTTTTTGTGAGATAAATAAAATGAACAAATGCAAAAAAGTACTCACATTTCCTTTAAAAACCAAAAACGCTAGAATGAGTATGCAAAAAAACTCCATTTTGTCAACGGTTCAACAATTTAAATGACAATATCAGATGACTTTATTCATTTAAGTTACTAAGTTACTAAAACGTATATGTATCAACAATACATTTGATAACGACATATTATTTTTCTTAATTTGAAATTTCTGAAATAATTATTGACATTATAACCATAATATGAATTTTCAACAACGAAATTCAGTAGAAATAAAGCTATCAGCGAACGTTCATGGATTGCAAAAACATATAATTTAATCTTGTTTGTTCGACAAAAATGTTCAGTTTCGTGTAATTTTGTATGACTTTGTAACAAAATAGTCCACTTCACATTTTACCGAAACATTTGTTTCATTTGTTCGTTTATTTATTTATTTATTTTATTCATTCACCGTCTGATCACAGACTGAAATTATCACAATATTTTTGTACAATTTCGTTCACAATGAAACACTACCCGATCGAATATCCAGCCACTGGTTTATACCACTCGTTTGTACCACTGGTTCGACATTTTGTTGTTTGTTCACACACGATATAAATATTTTAAGAGAAAAAAACTCTTGAAATCGAATAAACAAATAAATTGTTAAAGAAACCCCTAGGGGGTAGAAACAAACTGAAAAAAAGAAAAATTAGCAGCGTTTCTCCCCCTAGAGAAACCCACAATCTGTTTTATTTTTTAAAACATTTTCAAATTTTAATAAACTACGCTAAATAATTATGCCTTGAGAAAGAATTTCAACTTGGTTTGAAACAACGATCGAATATAATAGTAGAATCAACCGGTTTTTGGCTTTCTTATTAAAAATTACTTTGATATACGTAAAAATCAAATACAAAAGTTCTATTGATGATAAAATTTATTTGTTTTTAATCATATTCCTTAAATTTCCTTTGCGTTTCACACTTTTATGTACATTTTTGAAAATAGTTTTGTCATTTTAAAACATTTTTTTTTTCATTGCAATAATCGTGATATTCGGCATGTAAACTTTCTTTTGAAGATATCTTATAGAGCGGCAATCAAGTTCAATACATCTTATGGTCAGAGCCAAAACAAGTCCCGGTTCGTATTTGTACATCCCACTATTCACTTTTTTCTTTCGAATAAATTGAGAAGATGCATTTCAAAAGCTCATTTTGATAAGTGCAGAGTGCATCCGTCACATATAATGCAATGAAAAATGTTCTCAAAGGCAACGGCTGTTTGCAATGGTATAATTCTCTTAGTTCTCGAATGTGTCCATTTGAAATCAATCTAAAGTAGTGTCATTGCAACGAATAAACACTCCGTATATTTCGTATTTTTAAAAAATAGATCATGAAACATTTTAATGTGATGTACCTAACGCTGTATATATAGTTGGAATGTAATCGACCACAAGCACGTTCAATTGCAATGAAATCGGTCAAATATACACTCGCTTCGTTCTCATCGAGGACCGAAATGAAGCGCACGAATTCACATCAGTCTTTGTAGTTTGCGATGTTATTCCGTGATGTTTTTCGTGTTCTTAGACGTTGCCGGACAATGTTGAAATCTAAGAAAATTGTTTGCACAACAAAGAGCTTGTAAACATGTTTGTTACAGGGAAGAAGAAAAAAATCTGCCGACAGAGAACAAGCAAATAGACAGTGAAAGAAAAACGTGAAGAAAATCTGTTTGACCATTTAAATCATACACAAAGGCGTTCTAGGGGATAACCGTGAATTGCAGATCGAATAATTTATAATAATAAACGCTATTTCTCTCTATTTTTCACTAATTCTGCTAGTATTTCTACTAGTTTGTTCTAATACTGCTATTTTTTGCTAATTTCTCTAGTACGTCAAAAATATTGCATACGTCAGATTGACAGCATGATCGAATAACTGAAATGTGTTTACGTAAATGTTTCAAGTTGACACTTTCAACGTGTATATTTGAAGCAGGCACTAGCGTATACGTTTTCAGTAAGAAATCTGTCATCAAATCTACATTTCCGATTGCAATTCGTAAATTGTAGTTAATACAGATGAAACGTGCTTGGTTACGTGCCATTGAATATATTTTTATTTAAAAATGAGAAAAAGCGTATTTAACTACATATTTTGATACATTTTAGTTCAACACTATTCAATTCGTTTGTTTTGTGAATTTTATTTTAATTAATTATTTCAATATATTCAAGAATAAATGCTTACTAAAGTATATACGTGTACAGTGCTAATTCTGCTATTTATTGCTAATTTTGCTATTTTCTTCATGCAAATTTCCCTATTTTTTTGCTAATGTGCTAATTCTAATTCGCATGGATATCCCCTAGAAGGCGTTGCATTCCCATCGACATTTGAGTACATATCTTCTTTTCTCTGTCTATCGTTGTGTGCCACTGAGCTAAAGGCGCTTCTTTAATAGGACGTGCGATTTTTGGAAAGAGCATTTTCTCTCCATAGAGATTCGTTGTGTGCTGTGTCGCATTTGCTATTATTAATGCAAACATGGCGGAGCGTGTGCATTAGAGCAACAAAAATCCTCGAAATAATGTTCATTCTGAGTCCAAATGGATTTGCTCTTGCTTACGACCGAATTTTTTTGACGTATTTATTGATTGCGTTGAGATTTTCTTTATCGTTGTCGTCTGATACAAACATTCGAAATGGACACTTTAAATACGTGTTCGATAAAGTTTTGATACTATTTGGTGGTGTATGCTATTGTGACAAACATCCGCTTTCAAATTATATGCGCCATCACCCTCTCCCTCCTCTGTACTATATCAAATAACAAACTAACTCAATTTATCAAAAAATTTCTCGTTGATTGTATTCACATTTGTATTTCGTTGACATTTTATCTCTCCGCACCTACTTTCTCGTCTCTTGCTTCATTTTTTTTTTACAATCACATTTATCGTCATGATTTTTTCATTTCAAATTGATGTGAATTGCTTGCTGTTTTTGTGTGTGTTTGTCCATTTGAAAACAAATGTCCTTTCGATCGACAAAGCGACAGATTATTTAATCGATGTAATTAATACGTGCCTTCGTCGATTACGCTTTCTCTCTCTTTTATGCATCCATCATGTGTGAATAAAACGTATAGATATTGCTTTTCTCTTAGGAATTGTGTTTGGAATACATGGTTCGCGTTCCTGCTCCGTCTCTCTCTCTCTCTCTCTCTCTCTCTCTCTCTCTCTCTCTCTCTCTCTCTCTCT